TACTGTACAGATGAGGAAACTGAAGTATGGAAAGATGAGGGTCCTCGTGAGGGAGCAGCAGAGTTCGAGCCTCTCTGTTCTTCCCACAGCCTGCAGCGCCCTGCTCGCTGCTCTCCAGCTTCAGCTGCCCTCAGACCCTGGCGCTTGCCTGGCTCCCGCCCCTTCTGCCCTCCCCAAAGCCAAGGAGGCTGAGCTGCTGCTCCACAGTCACCCAGCCTGGCCCCTGAGGAGTGCAGACTTGAACCCGGGCCTCTTGGCTCCAGGCCTCCCTCACCACCATGGCCAGCAGGCTAGGCCTGTTCCCTGGGTGAGTCATTCCCCTGGACTTTGGCCTCCTTGTCCCTAGCTCTGTGGCCTGAAGTTTGGAGAGGGGGCCTTTGTAAGGAAGAGGGGCTCCCGTGGCAGTGGGAGTCTCAAGCCATTGGCCCCCCTCAGTGAGTTCATGGTGACAGCAGCCCCTAGCTCCCTGCTCCCCGTACATCTCTAAGCAGTCTCCTTGGGCCTCAAGACAGCCCTCCCTCCACAGCTCATTCTGCCCCCTCCCTAGATACACAAGACATTGCACTAGAAGTGGGGTGGGGTAGGGGCTGGGGGAGGTGGCATTTCCAGGTAGTTCGTGTGCCCAGGCAGCTTCCCCAGAGCTGCTCTTCCCTAGCACCCAGCCACTGGGTTGCCCAGGCGGGAAGCCACAGCACCTCCCCTTCTGGTGTCCAGGGACCAAGGTCACACCCAGAGCCCTGTGTGCCTCCACCTTCTCCTGGGGCCAGTGGTGTTTGTCACTGGGGCAACGTGTGGCTGTGCCCAGCTCTGGCAGTGCTAGGGTGACATTCATGCCCTGTGAGCTGTGACGCCTGTGCAGGCAGAGGACAGCACCATCCAGACTGGCAACAGGGGGGAGGGGGGAGGTGGGCTATCACCTGTCCGAGGCAGTCAGGGAGGTGACACAGTCAGGGAGGTGACATGTCACGGACCCATCCTGCTGTCTGGAGGGGGGATTCCCAGGGAAGGGGCAAGGTCGTGTCCCTGCCTCGATACTGTGTGGTAGGTGAAGGGGTCCGTGCCTTCCTCACACCTGGAAGATGAGGCTTGTCTTACGTTTATGTGTATGTGACAAGTTCTCTGTGCATCCACATCCTGTTTTTGTGGGGGGGTTCCCTGGTTGTGTGTTAGTTGTACTCTTGTGAGGGGTGACAACCTGGGTACCTATCCCATACTATCTAGGGGTGTCAAATGTGCCCATCTCACATTTTGGGGGAAGCGACAGGTTACGTACTTAGCTCATTCTGTTAGGAGGGTTGTCACCGACTCACAAGCCTTGTCTCTGTGGCTGTTGTGTGTGTGAGAGATGTCACCATGTGCCCGTCTCATGCTGTTGTGGGGAGTGACATGTGTGATTATCTCATGCTGTTGGGAAGTTGTCAGTAACTTGGGAGCTCGTCTCTCACCCTAAAGAGACGACATGTTGCCCGGTGATATGGGGCTGGCAGTTGGCAGGGCCTCCGCATGCAGACCACAGAGCCCCAGAGGAAACGCCGAGGCCCCGAGCCTGGGGACAAGTGTGGGCTGGGGGTGTAAGTCCCACATAACCTAGCTTCTGACCCAAGTGCCACCCCTTAGGACCCTTCCCCGAGAGGGGAGGACTCAGTGTTTTTCAGATGGTGAGGAAATGGGCCTCTGGGGTCAGAGCTGATTTGAGACTGCATAGATGGGGCGCCAGGCAGGGTTTGCACAAGGAGGGGCTGTGTCCCCAAGAGCCTGGGGACCCTATTCCCTGCCTCTTCTGCCCCTGAAACTGTTAAACTAATTAAGGCTGTGGAGCCGCAGGATTAATCGGGGCAGCTCGGCGCGGGCCGGGAGCTCAGGTAGTCGATTAGTGCGCCGAGGAGGATATTGGATTTCTGAACCGCAAGTCAGCACTATTCGGGCCTGTTATCTCTCCGAGGCTCGAGGGTCAGGAGGCGGGAGGCTGGGCGCCTGGCCGCCTCTGCCCGGCCAGCCCGGGCGTCATTCCCCCTGCCCGCGCCGCCAGCTCCGGCCTGTCTGCTGCCCACGCCGGCCCACCCCGTTCTGCCATCCCTTTCTCAGGCTCCCAGGGAAACATCCGGTCCCTGATCCTCTCCCTGCCTCTCTGTGGGGCTCTTGTCTCTGGAGCCCCTCTGCCCTTTGGCTCTCCTCAGTCCCTCCTGGCCTCTGGCTCACTTGGGGCCACCCGACACCCTCTCTTCAGCCTCTGACAGGGTCTCAACCCCTCCCTGCCTTCCTCTCCTCACTGCCTCTGTGTGCTGCCTTTCTCTCTCAGTTTCTGTCTCTGTCCCTCATCTCTCTGTTTCTCTCCCTCTGTGTGTCTCTGTCTCCCTGTGTATCTTTTTCTCTCTCTTCTGTCTTTTCTTCTCTCCTTCTGGCAATCTCTCTCTCTCTCTCTCTCTCTCTCTCTCTCTCTCTCTCTCTCTCTCTGTGTATCTTTTTCTCTCTCTTCTGTCTTTTCTTCTCTCCTTCTGGCAATCTCTCTCTCTCTCTCTCTCTCTCTCTCTCTCTCTCTCTCTCTCTCTGTCTTGTGTGGTCTCGGCTGGTGTCTGCAACCAGAACAAATCTCCCCCAGCCAACACCCCCTGAACAAGGAGGCCAGAGCAGCTAATGGGAAACATGTGATTCTGCCTTGCGCCTGGAGCACCGTGAAGGGAGCCTTGGTCCCAGCCCAGCCCCTGCTTCCCCCTCACCACATTCCCCCCACCACGCTGTCCTCTGCCTCCCAGCATTGCCCCCCCAGCCTGTGTGGGCACAATTGCAAGTTCCCCAGACACTTACATTTGGGGGGAATGGCATTTATCAGCTAGGGAGTATCAGGTTGTGGAGGGGCTGGGGACAGCTTTGTTCCTTAGGTCCCCCAGCCCCCAGGGCCAGGCAGACCCCATGCAGACTCCCCACTGCCACCACCATATGTAGGAGAACAGGGCCAAGATGAGCTGAGCTGTGGGGGCCTGGATGGAGGCAGCCAGTCCACCCCCACTGAGGGCCTTGGGGCCACCCAGGTTTCCATCTTTTCTTTCCTCCTGGGCCTCTGGGGAGCTGTAGAGGTGGGGGCTCCCCAAGGGCTTGGGAGCTGCTGGGCTGTGTTTCTGTGCCCACCCAACCACAGGGAAAGGGGGGACGGATCAGAGGAGGGAGGCTCTGGCAGGTTGGAATTCTCCTTCTCTGCCTGTGGATAAATTGTCCCTAATCCAGGCTTGGGGAGTTGTCTGGCTCCTACAGAGAGAGAGAGAGGGAGAGAGAGAGAGGGAGGGAGTGAGGAGGGAAGCAGGCACATACAAACACAGTGACACAGACACACACTGTCTCACAAAGGGTCTCTCGCATGCACACGCACACTCACACACTGACAAGTTACACAAAGGTACCACACAAACACTGAGGTGCCATTGTGCTGACAGACCCGTGGCACACAGACCTGCTCACACATGTTGACACTGACACACAGCTTTACTGGCACATATATACAATGACATAGCACAAGGACCCACTGACATACACAGAGACACACAATGATGTACAGACACACAATGACGAGGTCATACAAATCCACACATTCATGGACTGGTGCACAAGCACATACTGGCCTGTGGTGAAACAGACCCACAGGGACACCGTGACCAGTCACGCCGCCACACCATGACCCTGAAAATTCAGAGAAAGGCAGAGGTAGGAGGGAAGCGACACTGATCCACAGTGACACCAGTGCCTGCAGTCACAGGCCTCGAGATTGGAAACCTGCAGGGACAGCAGAGGATCAGCCGCACGCCCCCACGCCCTGCCAAACACACATCCAGAGAGCTCTGAGACAGGCAGGAGCCGGTTTGGCTCCCAACACGGCGAGATACAGAGAGCCAGGCGGACCGTGTGCACTCCCAGGCACACGCACATCCTGACTGCTGGGCCCACCTTGTCACACACAGGCACATACACTCACCCCTCTGTGTCCTCACAGGCTCAGCTAGACACACACACAAAGCTGGAGAGAAAGAAATAAGAATAGCGTACATACCCACACATATAACCGAAGACACTGACACCAGCACACACTCAGCCTGGCATCCTACGTGCACACGCCCTGCTGACCACACCAGCCTCAACCCAGCAAACATATGACCCCACATGTGTACACTCTTTATGTATATACCCACACAGACATACAGAGAGGCATACAAATAGGCTACACAGATCCAGGAACCCACATACAGGTGTATTTACCCAGATAGCCAAACATTCAGGCATGCATTTACAGAGGCAGAATCTCTGTCGCACACATGCAAATTCCCAGGCAACCAGAACCTCTGAGCAGTCCATGAGGCCTGATTCCCAGACCCCCTCTGGGCTCCAGCACAGATCTCAGGGAAGCAGACACGTGGGCAGGAAGCAGGGAAGTGGTGAGGAGGGCCATGGGTATTAAAGAAAACAAAGAGACAACCAGTGCTGCTGGAGACAGGTATATCGCTGCGTATATCATCCTCGTGGAAATCTGCATCCACCGTCACTCCGCTCCTAACAGCAACTCTCACACCTGCATCACAAATAAGCTCTTAGCACGATAGCTTCCCCAGAGTGCGCCTCCCATGCACGAGATCATATTCTTCCCATTTTATAGATGAGAAAACTAAGAACCAGATTAGTTACCTGACTTGCCCAAGGTCACACAGTTAGTGAGTATTAAGCCAAGGACTCTGACTCCCAAAGGCCAGGTTCCTTCCACCATAGCATATGTGCATGTGTACATGTGTATGTACATGTGTATGCACATGTGTACCTAGATGAACAAAAACATTGCTTCCCAGTAGAGCCTGAAGTTTCAAGAGACAGGCTCACAACTCCCCGATGGGATGAAGTTGGAGCTCAATTGGACCCCATCTAGGACAGCCTCCTGGCTCAGTGTCCCTCTGCACCCTGCCCTCTGGCTGGCTCACCTTGTGTCGGTGCTTATGCCTGGGTTACTGTGTTTGCTTCCACAGATGGGCGCTTGCCTGATTGTCTACCCATCGGCCTGGACCCCAGAGCCCACCCAGCTGAGCAAAGGGCCCTGGGTGCGGGGCGACGCTCCGGCTGCCGCAGAGACCACCCTGGAGACGCTGGTGAAGACAGGCCTTTCTTGCTGAGCCGGGCCTGTCTGCACGGCCTGCTCAGGTAACAGTGTGCAGGGCAGCCAGGCCTGGGTCTGGGCCACCCCCAGGAAGTGGGGATCGGGGGAATTTGCCTCTCAGTCCCAGCAGCAATCCCCTCCCAGCTTAGGCCAAAAAGAAGTCCTTTATAGAATCCAAAGATGTTAACCCAGCTTACTCAAACTCCCCGTTATCCAGAAAGGGGAACTGAGGCTCATGGATATACAGTGAGTCCTGCCTCCTAGCCTGAGGACTCTTCCCCGCGCCTTGATGACCTGGGAGGAGAAAGGGGTTGTGACAGTGACCAAGACTCAGGGCAGAGGTGGAAACCAGAGTGCCTGATGTGTGCAGCTGCTGCTCCCCCAGGATACCTCTCTACTGGAGTCTGACGAAGCAGAGAGCTGGGAGGCCAAGGTGAGGTGCTGGGAGGGCCTGGGTAGCCAGCTATGCTAGGGTGCCCTCACAGGACAGGGAGGGGGGCAGTGGCAGTGGCAGGACCTGCCTCCCTTCTCCTGGCCCAGGTTAGCCCACCCAGGCTCAGGAGCTGCACAGCCAGGTGAGGCTGCCCTGCCCTGCAAAGGCAACTCCCTGAACTGACACATGAAGCCTCGGGCTCCAGGAAGCTCCCTAGAGCCTGGCCTGCTTGGGGACCCCACCCAGCTTCCAAAGGAGCATTCCTGGGGCCTGAGGTCTGGGGGTGGGGCCTCCTGGGATTGTAAGGGCAGTGAGGTACAGCTGTGGGAGGATGCAAGGCTGTGTGTAGCCAACTGTAAATGCACGGGCACTCAGGCTTGTGTGCAAGCAGGTGTGTGGTAGGACTCTGTCCTAGGTGCACAGGGTTGTCTATACAACAGTTATGTAAGTGGGCTGGAGGGTGTTCGAGGCCTTGTATGTGGTACATTGGAGTAGTGAGTGTGAAAGATTCAGGGTGTGTACTGGGCAGGTGTGGGAATACTGGGGGGTTGTGTCACACTGTGTGGTATGTGTGCAGGGTGCTAGTGTACAAAGATGTGTGTAAAGACAGGCTCTGAATACACTGAGGAGGTATGGTGTGTGCACAGGGATCTGCATGTACACTGGAGGAGTGTGTGTTCAGGGTTCTGGGTGCACAGTGGGGGTGGTGTGTGCACATGGCTCCATTTGTGCTTTGGAGGTGGGCTGGGCGAGCCTTGAGCTGAGCTGGGCTCAGCAGTGCCCAGCCTTGTGGCCAAATCGCTGAAGTCACTTCCTTTCCAGCAGCAACTTTCCAGGAGGAGGAGTTCTTCAGACCTGGGGCGGGGAGGGGGGGCGGAACAAGGAGCTCTCAGGGGAAGGAGGTAGGCGGGGGTGTGAGGCTGGGGGGAGGGCCTGGTGGGGCTGGAGGAGGGGAGTCCTCGGGGAGACAGAAGGAAAGACAAGGACAGGAGTCTGGAAGGGCCAAGGGCAGGAGGGGATGGGGGCGGAGCAGGGCGGGAAGCACAGTCCCTGGGTGACCTCAGAGGGAGGAAGGGAGGGCCGCCGGCAGGGTGACCCTCGGGTCCAGCCAGAGCTGGCGGTGGCGCCCGCACACCTGGCACCCAGGGCAGGGGGCTGGCAGGGGGCGGTTCTGGGGCAGACCTGCTTGCCAGGTGCCCTGCTCTGGGCAGGAAGGGGGTGGGCGAGGGCTGCACAAAGGAGCTCTGTGTAGCTGGGGGTAGGGTGGGGTGGGTGGGGTGTGCTGTGCTGTGCTGTGGGGGGGCCCCCCTGGCCCTGGGGGGAAGGGGGTGGGGCAGGGCCAGCTCCCCTTGGGGGCATCAGTGGCTCCAAGGGGACACCTAGTGGCGAGGGAGAGTAGTGCATCTGGATGGCCAGTGGGAGGTGGTGGCTAGAAGATGAGAGGAGGATAGATTAGAAGTCAAAAATTAGAACTAATGGTTGGGATTAGGACAGTTGGAGGAGGCTGTAAGGGAGGGGACTGAATCTCTGGTCAGTGAAGCAGTTTGGTATAAAGGAACCCAACAAACCTAAATGCAGACCAGCTGAATTGAATGATATGACTGTTTGTCCTTAAGGGCATAACTTAACCTCTCTGTGCCTCCATTTAAATGCCAAATGAGTGACAATTGCCATTATTATTTCCGCCATTGTTATTTTTGTTGTGATTGGGGGCTGGAAATCAGATTGGAAGAAGATCTGCAGGTAGGTACAGCAGAGTGGGCTGGAAGGAAGGAGATTGGGGGGGGCAATGACTAGTCCCTGAGGGGGCAGATCCTAGGAGATAAGGCCCCAGGAGGAGAAGGGAGGCAATGGGGAAGGTCTCAGAGCACCAGTAACAGCCCCTTTGATGCAGTGTTTTCCATTTGAGGATATCCCTGGGCCTTCAAGCCGGCCTGGGAGGGAAATGGGGGGAGGAGTGCTCAGGCTAGAGAGAGGGTCATGGGGCCGGAAGTGAGAGCTGGGGCTGGCAGCCTGGCTCCCCTGGGGAGGCTGTGGGTGGGGGAGGGAGAGAGGACTGGGGAAGGGGTGGGGTGGTCACAGCCACAGCGAGGAGGGTGGGGCTGGGGACTCAAGGATGTGGGCTGGCTCTTCCCAGCACTGTGCACAGCAGGTTGGGGCCCTGGCCCCCTCCCAGCCAGCTCGTGTCCCCATGGGTGAGCTCAGACACACTGACCCAGAAGCAGACAGGCAGACAGAAGGACCCTTTTAACTTTGTTCACAGACCGGGGCTAGGTGGTACCCCTGGGAGGGGGCCAGGAGAATGGCTGCCGGGCGTGGTGGGGAGGGAGCCAGCTGTTTCCCTCAGATGCTAGAGGCTGCAGAGACAGCAGTGGACAGAGTCAGGAGGCCTGGCGGGAGGACATGCCCAAAGGTCTTCACGGGTGGGTGAAACAGAAGCCACCGCTGGAGAGGAGGTTTTTCTCTTCTGCCAAGATCACACCCTCAGGCCCCAAGTGGGAGGTCTCAAGAGCAGGGAAGGCTTGGCAAGCCTGGCCCTTGGTGAGGGAGGGATGGTGGCTTCTGGTAAGCCTTTCAGAGACGGCATCAGGAGCCATGGCCAGCCATACTCTTGGGAATGGGCCTTGGAGAGTCTGGAGTCTGCTCTCCTTGCCTCCCAGCAAGATCAGCCGCGCTCCAAGTTCTTGGAGTAGAGACTTGACCTGGGAGGGGCCAGGTCCACAGCCAGGCATGGGAGAGATCAGGGCCCTGAGTGAGCCTACAGGTGGGACCAGCAGAGAGGGGAGGGGCAGTGGACAGAGAACGTTCCACCTGGATGAGCAAAAACAGGGCCCTTCCTGTGCCATTTTGTGGCCTCGGACAAAGTTTCTTTCTGTCTTCAGGTCTCAGTTTCCTCATCTCTAAAATGGGAGGAGCATGAGATGGCACTAGAAAGTGTACCCACTGGGGTAGCTGATTAAAAATACAGATTCCCAGATGTCCCTCCAAATCTATGAGTCAGAATCCCCTGGACTAGGGCCTGGGTATCTGGAATGTTACACAGCTCCCCCAGGCCCAGGGTTTGGAAGCCAATGGGTTAGATAATTTTAAGGTTCCTCCCAGCCTTAAATTAGACCACAGTTCTAGAAGGAGCATTTTCAGAAGTAGCTGAAAGAAAGTTGCAGGAGCTAGGAGTGGAAGGCAGCTTTGGATTTAGGGCAGAATTAGGAATCCTGCCACTTAACAGCTATGTGACTTCAGGCAAGTTACACAACCACTCTGAGCCTGTTTTCTCTCTAACAGGGACATAGTAAACAGTGCCTCCCAGGTTGCAGTGAAGATTCAATGGGTCATGTATGTGAAAGTGCTTTATAGATTGCAAATTGCTGCCCACGAAAGGGGAGCAGAGGAGTGTCCCTTTCCACTCTATTCTGTCCTCTGCAGTCTTCCTGTGGGGTGACAACACTGGGCTGTATGGCAGCCAGTGAGAGTCTGCACGTGTCCTTGGGGGTGGGCTCTGGGATTGACCACTAGGTCAGGGCCAAACACTAGGCAGTGACCGGGGTCAGCCTTCAAGACCCTCACAGTGGTTGGGGCCCATTCAGCTCCCTGTTCCCTGAGATCCCAGCTCCTGGGGATCAGCCATGACCCTGAGTCCCCAGGCTCCTCTGGGAATCAGACATGCCTGGCTGTAAATCCCAGCTCTACCCTGACCAGCTCAGGGAGTCATTTGGTAAATATTTACGTAGCATCCACAGCCCAAGCCTTGGGGTCAGAAGATACAGCAGTAAACAAGGCAGACGTGATCCCCGCCCCTGAAGAGCCCATACTCTTGGGAAAGATGCACTAAACAGCCAGTCACACAAGTAATTGATTACAGTTGTGATACATACCATGAAGGTGAAATAGGGCTCTAAGAGTATGTAGCTTGAGAGCAGTGGTGTGATCATAGCTCATTGCAGCCTCAAACTCCTGGGCTCAAGCAATCCTTCTGCCTCAGCCTCCCAAGTAGCTGGGACTACAAGTATGCAATACCACATCCAGCTGATTTTTTTATTTTTGTAGAGATGGGGTCTCGCTATGGTGTCCAAGCTAGTCTCAACTCCTGGCCTCAAGCAGTCCTCCCCGCTCAGCCTCCCAAAGTGCTAGGATTGCAGGTGTGAGCGACTGTGCCCAGCCAGTGTCTCTTTCCACATTCTTGTCTCTCCCTCCTTCAGTATCCTTCTTGGGTCTGAAGAAGAAAAAAGAGCCTCATGGGAAAAGGCAGGTTGAGGCTTCATTCAACAAATATTTTTTTTTTTTTTTTTTTTTTTTTTTTGAGATAAGGGTCTCACTCCCTTGCCTCAGCTACAGCACAGTGGCATCATCATAGCTCACTGCAAACTCAAACTCCTGGGCTCAAGCAATCCTCCTGCCTCAGGCTTCTAGGTAGCTGGGACTACAGGTATGTGCCACTATACCAGGCTAATTTTTCTATTTTTTGTGAAGATACAGTCTCATTCTCACTCAGGCTAGTCTCAAACTCCTGAATTCAAGTGATCCTCCCACCTTGGCCTCCCAGAGTAGTCGGATTACAGGTGTGAGCCATTGCACCTGGCCCCCTAAGTCTCCTTAATAGTTTGATTTCCTCCATAGCATTCATCTGACATATGTTTTACTTATCGATTTGTCGGTCTTTCCCTACTAACATGAATGCTCCACATGACTGAATATTTGTCTTGTGCCATACACTGCTACATAAGCCCAGTACCTAAAACAGTGCTTGGCATATAGAAGGCACTTAATAAATACTTGCTGAACGAACAAATGAATGAATGAATCCATCATCTGTTCCCAAGTCTAGAGGTCCTATCCCTGTGCTGACAACATCTATACCTGTCTCTAGCTCCATGTCTAATCCCAAACTGTGGGGATCAGAAGGGATGGTACCCCTTGGATGTCCCAAATTTACATCAAACCTGGACAATCCAACTGAAATGCAAGCTGCTCCTTCTACGTGTGTCCCATTTTGGCAACAGCTGCAATACTCCCTCAGTCTCTCCCAGGCCAGAGAATCCTGTGCCTCACCACTTTGGCTCCCTCATCCCCCATGTCCTATCTCTTCTGCCTCCAGTCTCTCTGTTCCCACAGCAACTAGGGTAACAGGACCAAAGATGGCTTCCCTGGGGTCACCTGATCATAAGAGAGTTCAGCAGAATTATCATCCAGTAATAAACACGAATCCCTCCCTTTACACAAACACCTACATGTTGACAGAGCACTTTTGGAGACATTATGTCAGTGGATTTTCGCAACAACTCCAGGCTTAGATGTCATTATTCCCAATGGACAGATGAGAAAACAGGTTTAGAGAAATGAAACAATTTGCCTGAGGTCACAGAGTAAGGAGGAGAGCTGGGGACTCAAATGCAGGTCCCAAGACTAAACTGTCAGCAACCTGTATCTCCCACAGTTTACAAGATTGGCTGTCAGGCAAGTTGCATAACTTCTTTGGGCCTTGGTTTCCGCATCTGTAAAATGGGGATGAAAACAGACCCTAGGTCATGGGGTTTTTATGAGGATTCAATGAGTTAATTCATATGAGGTGTACAGAATGCTGATTGGCAGGTTGTAATGTTGAATTATATTAGCTCTCACTATTATTCTTATGTAAGAGATTCGGGAGATGCTCAAAATCCTAAAATCATTAAAAAAAAATTTGTGAGGGAGGAGGGGATGGGTATCTACAAACACAATGAGTGAGATGTGCAACATTTGGGGGATGGTCACGCTTGAAGCTCTGACTTGAGGGGGCAGTGGGGCATGGGCAATATACATAACCTTAACATTTATACCCCCATAATATGCTGAAATAAAAATAATTAAAAAATAAAAAAAATTTGTGAGCTGTGTATTTTTCAAGGCAACAAAATCCTCAGCTTCTAATTATCAAAAGGCTCTGTGATCCAAAACTTTTTCAAAACCACTGAGCATAAGAGATAACAAGAATATGTCCAATATCAGGCCGGGCACGGTGGCTCACGCCTATAATCCTAGCACTCTGGGAGGCCGAGGTGGGAGGATCGCTCGAGGTCAGGAGTTCGAAACCAGCCTGAGCAAGACTGCTTGCCGGCTGCCTGCCTGGCCAGGAAGGGGGGGCGAGGGCTGACTTGAGCCTCTGTGTAAGCTGGGGGTAGGGTGGGGTGGGTGGGGTGGCTGTGCTGTGCGTGTGGGGGGCCCCCTGGCCTGGGGAAGGGGGTTGGGGCAGGGCCAGCATCCCCTTGGGGGCATCAGTGGCCCCAAGGGACACCTAGTGGCGAGGGAGAGTAGTGCATCTGGATGGCCAGTGGAGGGTGGTGGCTAGAAGATGAGAGGAGGATAGAAGTCAAAAATTAGAACATAATGGTTGGGATTAGGACAGTTGGAGGAGGCATGTAAGGGAGGGGACTGAATCCTCGGTCAGTGAAGCAGTTTGGTATAAAGGAACCCAACAAACCTAAATGCAGACCAGCTGAATGGAATGATAGTGACTGTTTGTCCTTAAGGGCATAACTTAACCTCTCTGTGCCTCCATTTAAATGCCAAAGATGACAATTACATTATTATTTCCGTCATTGTTATTTTTTGTTGTGATGGGGGCTGGAAATCAGATTGGAAGAAGATCTGCAGGTAGGTACAGCAGAGTGGGCTGGAAGGAAGGAGATTGGGGGGGGCAATGACTAGTCCTGAGGGGCAGATCCTAGGAGATAAGCCCCAGGAGGAGAAGGGAGGCAATGGGAATGTCCTCAGAGCACCAGTAACAGCCCCTTTGATGCAGTGTTTTCCATTTGAGGATATCCCTGGCCTTCAAGCCGGCCCTGGGAGGGAAATGGGGGGAGGAGTGCTCAGGCTAGAGAGAGGGTCATGGGCCGGAAGTGAGAGCTGGGCTGGCAGCCTGGCTCCCCTGGGAGGCTGTGGGTGGGGGAGGAGAGAGGACTGGAAGGGGTGGGGTTGGTCACAGCCACACGCGAGGAGGGTGGGGCTGGGACTCAAGGATTGTGGCTGGCTCTTCCCCAGCACTGTCGCACAGCAGGTTGGGGCCTGGCCACCTCCCAGCCCAGCTCTGTCCCCATGGGTGAGCTCAGACACACTGACCCAGAAGCAGACAGGCAGACAGAAGGACCCTTTTAACTTTGTCACAGACGGGGCTAGGTGGTACCCCTGGGAGGGGGCCAGGAGAGAATGGCTGCGGCGTGGTGGGGCGGGGGGAGGGAGCCAGCTGTTTCCCTCAGATGCTAGAGGCTGCCAGAGACAGCAGTGGACAGAGTCAGGAGGCCTGGCGGGAGACAATGCCCAAAGGTCTTCACGGGTGGGTGAAAACAGAAGCCACCGCTGGAGAGGAGGTTTTCCTCTGCCAAGATCACACCCTCAGTGCCCCAAGTGGGAAGGTCTTCAAGAGCAGGGAAGGCTTGGCAAGCCTGGCCCTTGGTGAGGGAGGATGGTGGCTTTGGTAAGCCTTTCAGAGACGGCATCAGGATACCATGGCCGCCATACTCTTGGGAATGGGCCTTGGAGAGTCTGGAGTCTGCTCTCCTTGCCTCCCAGCAAGATCAGCCGTGCTCCAAGTTCTTGAGTAGAGACTTGACCTGGGAGGGCCAGGTCCACACGCCAGGCATGGGAGAGATCAGGGCCCTGAGTGAGCCACAGGTGGGACCAGCAGAGAGGGGAGGGCAGTGGACAGAGAACGTTCCACCCTGGATGAGCAAAACAGGGCCCTTCCTGTGCCATTTTGTGGCCTCGGACAAAGTTTCTTTCTTCTTCAGGTCTCAGTTTCCTCATCTCTAAATGGGAAGGAGCATGAGAATGGCACTAGAAAGTGTACCCACTGGGTAGCTGATTAAAAATACAGATTCCCAGATGTCCCTCCAATCTATTGAGTCAGAATCCCTGGACTAGGGCCTGGTATCTGGAATGTTACACAGCTCCCCCAGGCCCAGGGTTGTGAAGCCAATGGGTAGATAATTTAAGGTTCCTCCAGCCTTAAATTAGACCACAGTTCTAGAAGGAGCATTTTCAGAAGTAGCGAAAGAAAGTTGCAGGAGCTAGGAGTGGAAGGCAGCTTTGGATTTAGGGCAGAATTAGGAATCCTGCCACTACTAACAGCTATGTGAATTCAGGCAAGTTACACAACCACTCTGAAGCCTGTTTTCTCCTTAACAGGGACAAAGTAAACATGCCTCCCAGGTTGCAGTGAAGATCAATGGGTCATGTATGCGAAAGTGCTTTATAGATTGCAAATGCTGCCCACGAAAGGGAGCAGAGGAGTGTCCCTTTCCCACTCCTATTCTGTCCTCTGCAGTCTTCTGTGGGGTGACAACACTGGGCTGTATGGCAGCCAGTGAGAGTCTGCACGTGTCCTTGGGGGTGGGCTCTGGGATTGACCACTAGGTCAGGGCCAAACACTAGGCAGTGACCGGGTCAGCCTTCAAGACCCTCACAGTGGTTGGGGGCCCATTCAGCTCCTGTTCCCTGAGATCCCCAGCTCCTGGGGATCAGCCATGACCCTGAGTCCCCAGGCTCCTCTGGGAATCAGACATGCTGCTGCTGTAAATCCCAGCTCTACCCTGACCAGCTCAGGGAGTCATTTGGTAATATTTACGTAGCATCCACAGCCCAAGCCTTGGGGTCAGAAGATACAGCAAGTAAACAAGGCAGACGGTGATCCCGCGCCCTGAAGAGCCCATACTCTTGGGAAAGATGCACCTAAACAGCCAGTCACACAGTAATTGATTACAGTTGTGATACAACCATGAAGGTGAAATAGGGCTCTAAGAGTTGTACGCTTGAGAGCAGTGGTGTGATCATAGCTCATTGCAGCCTCAAACTCCTGGGCTCAAGCAATCCTTCTGCCTCAGCCTCCCAAGTAGCTGGATAAAAAGTATGCACTACCACACCCAGCTGATTTTTTTTATTTTTGTAGAGATGGGGTCTCGCTATGGTGTCCAAGCTGGTCTCAACTCCTGGCTCCAAGCAGTCCTCCCGCTCAGCCTCCCAAAGTGCAGGATTGCAGGCGTGAGCGACTGTGCCCAGCCAGTGTCTCTTTCACACATTCTTGTCTCTCCCTCCTTCAGTATCCTTCTTGGGTCTGAAGAAGAAAAAAAGACCTCATGGGAAAGAGGTGAGGCGTATCTTCAACAAATATTTTTTTTTTTTTTTTTTTTTTTTTTTTTTTATGAGACAGAGTCTCACTTTTGTTGCCCAGGCTAGAGTGAGTGCCGTGGCATCAGCCCTAGCTCACAGCAACCTCAAACTCCTGGGCCAAGCGATCCTCCTGCCTCAGCCTCCCAAGTAGCTGGGATCTACAGGCATGTGCCACCATGCCCGGCTAATTTTTTTGTATATATATTTTTAGTTGGTCAATTAATTCTTTCTATTTTTAGTAGAGACGGGGTCTCGCTCAGGATGGTTTTGAACTCCAACCTCGAGCAATCCGCCCGCCTCGGCCTCCCAGAGTGCTAGGATTACAGGCGTGAGCCACCGCGCCCGGCCAACAAATATTTTTTGAAACACTGTTGTGTGCCCTCTGCAGTTCTGGGTGTTGGGAGACACATACAGTGGTGAATGGACAGATACCCTTGCCTCGAGTGCTTACCACCTTCTAGTGGATGGTGTCTGTAGAAATGGCGGAGAATAATCTTATTGGTCTCAGGTTAGGGGGGATTAGATGAGATAATCCATGTAAAGGCTTGTCTCAGTGTTTGGCAACAGAGAATGTGTCCCCAGTGATGGACTTTTTTTTTGTTGCCTCCCCAGTATGACTGGTTAAACCTCTGACCTTAGGCCCTCTTTTACTTTTCCTTGCAGCTTTTATCCCACTAATAATTATACCATTTAGAAAGATTTGACCAATGTCTATCATCCAGTCCTGTGCAAAGTAGGCACTCCATAAATAATGAGTGCGGTGAATGAATGATATTACTTTATCTCTGCACCTCCATTCCTTCATCTGCAAAATGGGGTTATTAATAGCCCTACCTCACAGGATCGGTATGAAGAATTAAGTGAAAGGATGCCTGGACAGCTTCCCGCCCAGTGCCTGGCGCGCATAAGGTGCTCACTAAAACCTGAGCTGCGATGGTCCTTTCCAGGCGCTGTCCCACGCCCCGAGGCCTGGGCTCAGGCCGAAGTTGCTCCCGCAGCAACCGCAGCTGACAGCCAGCACTGGCAGAGCCCCCAGGCGGGGGCCCTCTCCCTCCCAGGTCAGCCGGGTATGTGCACTGGAGGGTGGGGTGGTACCCAGAGGAGGCTGGGCTGGTGAGCAGGGCTTGAGCTGCGGCCACCAGACCATTTGGGGAATTCAGATCTGTTACCTATCTTGTTGCCCACCAAGATTTCCAGTGTGACAGCCCAGGCGGCAGAGCCGAGGGTGAGTGGCCGAGGTTCTGGACCCCCGGGTGTGGGGCAAGAAGGAGGGGAGGCCATGCCCTTGATGGGACTTCCTGGCCCTCCTCCTTAGTCTGATCTGGAGTGGTCACCTTGCCTGAGGAGCGTTTCCTCTCAAAGGCAGGGGATCCTGTTCTCCATGAGCACATAGCCAGGTTCTAGAAGGGGGTGGGCTGTCAGTATGGCAGCGTCCTGCGGGGGTATTGTGCATTTGGTGTTTCGCGGAAAGAGGGGGAGTCAGCAAAGGCATTGCGGCTTGGAAGGGCTGGAGTTGTACAGGGGAGGGGACAA